GAGAGAGAGAGAGAGAATACATTAAGAACGAAACGGATCATCACCGATCTACGCGACCTCTCGTCGTTCCCGCTATTAACACGATTACATCTTTTTTCCTCCATGGACGCTGCTCATTATCACGGATTTGGGCCTGCGATGGATCATCTCACCGATCTCTTGTTTGGGCCTCCCCCGTCCGTAACCGAATCGAATCCCAAATACGCATCGCCGCCTCCATCGCCCGCCCCGCGTCTCTCCCCCCCCTTCTCTCTCTCCCCCCTCCCTCCGCCCGCGAGTGTTTTCGAAATAATTTCGCCACGCCGCGAAAAAAAATTCGCGCACCGAATTCCATTTCCGAACGTGATATATAACGGGGAACGCAGGATTCTTCGGACGAGGAAGACGAGGGGGTGGACGAGTCGGAAAACCAAGAGGAGGGGCCCCTTGGACGGCACAGCGGTCACACCGCAAGAAACGGCCTCGCATCCGCCACACTTCCTGTACGAGTCGTTACTGCTCTTTCGGTAAACGCGCCCAATCCCACATTTTTCTACTCCCACCTCTCCCACTTGTCTGTATCTCCTTCCTTCCTTCCTTCCTTCCTTCTGTCCAACTTGTATCGCCAACTTGTATATCCATCCTTGCTTTTTCCCTTCTTTCTCTTTCTCCGTCTCCGTCACCTCTTTCCTTCTCTTCTGTACGTGTGTATATATATATATATATATTATATATATATAACGTGTGTACCCTATATATACACGCTTTGTGTCACTTTGTCACGTTTCGAGGATGAAATCGATGCCACTTCGCACCGTACATATACATTCGTCGCGCCACCAACCACCTTTCGCGGCTAATCGGTGTTTTAATCGTTCCCGGAACGCTGCGAACGAACGTTCTTATCTTCTTTCTTGCCCCCCTCACCCTCCCCCTCCCATCCCTCCCTTTTCACCGCCATCCTTCGAGTCGAACGAATAAAACGGGTACTCACCGAGCGTACTCGTTTCACCGCTTCCGTGCGAGGGACGCACGAAAAAAAAACGCGGCGTTCTCATCGCGTCTCTCGGGCGTGGAAACAAAAAAAAAAAAAAAAAAAAAAAAGAAAAGGAAGGAAGAAAAAAAAAGAAAAGAGAAAGAAAAAGAGAAAAAAAAGAACAGCCCTTTCGTTTCCCGCTTTTCGTTTCCATCCAAATCGGATCGAGTTATCCCCGATCGCTTTTCACCTTTCATCGTTTCTTTTTCCATTTTCGTTCGTTTTATGTTTTCTTCTATCGCTCGACGCGACGTATCATCCCCGCACGCACGCACACACCTCCCAACCCCTCCCCCACCCCCACTCCTCAAATACGACGAAAACTCTCGCGACATTTTCGATCTTTCGTTCTTATCGTTATCATTATTGTTGTTGTTGTTGTTGTTGTTGTTATTATTATTACTATTATTATTATTATTATTATTCGGTCAACGCGTTATTTATTTATTTATTTATATATACTTAGTTTTTCTCGATTCTTTTTAAGCATCATTGGATTATTAAGAGCAGCACAAGTTGTCAAGCTTTTATTATTTATCTTTTTTATTGCTGTTGAAAAATAAAATTCGACAAAAAAAAAAAAAAAAAAAAAAAAACGTAATCAATATCCAAAATCGACAATCTTACGATTATCTTACGTATCCCGTTTCTTCTTTTTTCAGCATTCGATCAAGCCATCGATTCCAGTGAAAGGTATGTCGTGTGTGGCGAGGAAACGTTAACAGAAACAGGCCTTCCAACACGCCTTTTTTCTATCGTTTGGGATAGATAGATTCGTGGATAGATCCGTGTTTTGTGATGAAACGAAACGAGCCGATACTCGATGACTGATACTCACGCGCAGTGTACACGTCGCGTATCACGAGCACGGGTTCAATTTCGAGGGACGCGCGCCTCGAATCATCGATTTTTTTTTCCAACGAACGGCGAGTCGAACGCGCCACGCCGTGTCCACTCGATATATGCGCCACCCGGCCACCGTGGTGCTAGTGTTTCACGCTCTAAACTATCGACGCTCTTGCGCCGTATGCAAAATCGCGCAAGGGCAAGAACCTCGACAAGGAGAGAGAGAGAGAGAGAGAGAGAAAAGAGAGAGACAAGAAAGACGGTGCGCGAAACGACACAGTCGAGCGTACGTGTTATAACCTCGTCTCCCTCCCTCGGTCTCTCTTTCTCCCTATCTCTCTCTCTCCTCCCCCCCCAACCCCCCCTCCATTTTTCCTCTTCCACCCTTAATTTTATTCCTTGATACAAAATTGGGACAAAAGAGAGATGAGATTCGATCGTTTCGCCTTCTGTTTCGGGAGAAGGAACAATAGGATCGGGGACGAGCGCGAGGAGGGGTTGATCGAGGAACGGGTTGAAACCCTCTCTGGACGAGTCTCGGTAGAACAGGGTAAATCGTCGAGATGGCGCGAGATTTATATTATATTCTCTCGAGAATAGAGAAGGAATTTTTTTTTTTTTTGTTATCCCGAGAACGTTGATCAGATCCGAACGGGAAACTGATCAGGCATACTTTGCAGCGGGTTTCAACAGACAATCGTCGCGACAAACGGGTCGGCCAACCAACATAATGCCGCCTGGCAGCACCGTGAACGGCCACGGTGACTCTGTGGCTGGATTAACAGGTCGAAGGGAGGTGGAGAACGTGCCCACGCCCACCACGGCCACGGCCGCTTCCTTCAACGTCACCCTCTCGGCTCTGGCCAAACAGAAGCAGCAGCAGCAGCAACAACAGCAGCAGCAGCAACAGCAGCAGCAGCAACAGCAGGGGGCACAACAGGTGGAGAACGGTCGTGGAAGACGAACGAACGTGGTGAAAGAGGTGGAGAGGTTGAAGAAGAACAGGGAGGAAAGAAGGCAGAGGCAAGCCGAGTTAAAGGAAGAGAAGGAGGCTCTGATGAATTTAGATCCTGGTAATCCAAATTGGGAGTTTCTCGCTATGATAAGGTCAGGGTCCCCTCCCACCCTCTCTCGCCTTTTTCTTATTTATCGTTGTTGTTATTACTCGTATTATTCTCCGCCACGTTTTTTGCACATTTCTTGCACAACACGTTGAGTACCCGTTTTCAAAATGCCGCGCTCGGCCGCGCCGTTTTCCGTTTCCGCAGGGAGTATCAGAACAGCATCGAGTTCAGGCCGCTCCGGGAGTCGGACGTGGTCGAGGATCACCAGATCACCGTGTGCGTGAGAAAGCGCCCCCTGAACAAGAAGGAGATGGCGCGGAAAGAGGTGGACGTGATCAGCGTGCCCAGCAAGGATCAAATGGTGGTACACGAGCCGAAGGCCAAAGTCGATCTCACCAAATATTTGGAGAATCAAATTTTCCGTTTCGACTACGCGTTCGACGAGACGTGCAACAACGAGATCGTGTACAAGTACACGGCCAAACCTCTGGTCCAGACCATCTTCGAGGGTGGGATGGCCACCTGTTTCGCCTACGGTCAAACGGGAAGCGGGAAAACCCATACGATGGGCGGTGATTTTAACGGGAAAACCCAGGATTGCAAGAAAGGTATATACGCGATGGTAGCCAACGACGTGTTTAAATGCCTCAAATTGTCCAAGTATCGCTCCCTTAATCTCATCATTTCCGCGAGCTTCTTCGAAATTTATTCGGGGAAGGTGTTCGATTTATTGGCGGACAAGGAAAAGCTTCGCGTGTTGGAGGACGGGAAACAACAGGTAAGTGACGTGAGTTTTCTCCTCTTCTCCTTCCTCTCGCCACGTACGTTTAACACACCCCGTCCCGTTTTTTCAGGTGCAGATTGTCGGATTGACGGAGAAGGTGGTGGAGTCGTGCGACGAGGTATTGAAATTGATACAACACGGGAACAGCGCGAGGACCAGCGGGCAGACAAGCGCCAATTCGAACTCGTCTCGGTCGCACGCCGTGTTTCAAATCATAGCCCGTACACCGGCCACCCATAAAGTTCATGGAAAATTCTCGTTGATCGATCTTGCCGGAAACGAGAGAGGAGCCGACACGTCTTCCGCCAACAGACAGACTCGTGAGTTGTCTTCCCCTTGAGTATATGTATATGGCCACGTGTCTGTGACCTTATCTTCTTCGTCCTTTTCAGGAATGGAAGGTGCGGAGATCAACAAGTCGCTGTTGGCCTTGAAAGAATGCATTCGAGCCTTGGGCCGCAAAGGAACGCATTTGCCGTTTAGGGCTAGCAAGTTGACGCAGGTGTTAAGGGACAGCTTCATCGGTGAAAAATCGAAAACCTGCATGGTAAAGGAAAAGATCGTTGATGATAATCTATATCCAAGCTTCGAGTCATCTCCTCCTCATATCTCCTCCTTTCTCTCGCAGATCGCCATGATCAGTCCAGGAATGAGCTCGTGCGAGCACTCGTTAAACACTTTGAGATACGCGGATCGAGTGAAGGAGTTGGCTGCCACTGATCCAACGGAAGTGAAAATTTCCTCGACGGACGACGAACGGGAATTAAAAATCGAGGCACAGTCGAACAACGTGTTGTCCGACAGCGACTTGGCGCAACTGCGATCCCTGAACGTATGAATCTTTGCAACCTTTTTTTTAAACCTTTGTTGAGCCTGGATGTTGTTTATATCGCGATGGATAAAAGTAGAGAGTTTTTTTTCTTTATCAGGAGAGCGAAATATCTCAAGATCTTTACACGTTTCACGAGGCGGTATCCGCGTTGCAAATGCTGGAGGAGGAAGTCTTGGACACGCACAAAATGGTTATGGATCAAACGACCAGATTTCTCAATGATGCACACAGTGTGTTCAGTGTGACTCACGAAGTAGACTATGACCAAGAAGGTAAGACGGTTAAACCGTATTTGCCGATTCACGATTCCAAAACCCTATTGTATTCTATACCGTACGTACCACCTCGATACCGAATCCTGCTCGCGTATTTCGCGCATCCACGCATCATACATGCATGTACGTACGCATCTACGCGCAACGAATCAGTGTATATATATATACACGTTTCTTCTCTTCTCCCGTCTCGTTCAGACGTTGCATCTGGTTTATATATATATATACACGCGTCTCTTTCGTACGTAATCGTTCCTCTCTACTCGTTCGTTTCGTTTCCCAAACGGTTTTAAACTTTTTTTTTTTAGTCATCTACTCTCCCCCTCCTCCCCGTTTCGAATTTCTCTCTTTTTCGTTTTCGCACAATGGACTCCCTCTTTTCGATGACACGGTCGAAAACGCATGCCTCGACGTCGATTTGATGGGAGCTGCTACTACTACTACCACTACCGCCACTGTTACTACTACTACTACTACTACTACTACTACTACTATTACTACATCTTTCTATTTTCCGGTTCATATCGGCAATTGAAAAAGATCACGTCGTTCTTCGGGACAAAAAACTTAGTAAAACGATTCGACGATGAGAAGCAAAAAAAAATAAAAAAAAAATAAAAAAATACATACGCAAAAAAGCGTCAAGTTTTATTGTGTATATGTGGAATTTTGCGACAGATTCACGCGGTAAAGATAAGGCAAAGGCAAGTCGTCGGTTAGAATCGAACTTAGAAGCCGGAAGGACAACAACAACAACAACGACGACGACGACAACAACAACGACAACACCAACAACACCAACAACTACAACTACGACGACGACGACAGCGACAACGAGTTCGAGCACGGTGGCTGTGTCGATAAGTGACGATAACGATATCGTTTCGGATAATGGCCGATGGTCCAACGTGAATATCGATAAGAAAATAAAGAATTCGTTAAAATCTCCTTGGCGGGACGAAATGGAATGTGAAAGTGAGAATGTAAATTCTTGCGATAGGTATCACGAATTTTCGTCGAACGTTTTCGAATCGACTCGCGTCGAGGAAATTGCGGCTGATCGTATTAATAAATTTCGTCCAAAAGGCGCGTCGCGCATCGAAAATATTTGGAGGACTAACGATTTGTCTGGAAACGTCGGCGAGAGAACAAACCCATCCTGTCGGATGGATAACCGTGCGCAACGATTTAAACGAGCCACGAGCAGTGGGAAAAAGTATCATTGGTCCGGAACTTTCAACGATCGTGCGAAAAGATACTCGTCCGTCGATAACATCGGAACACCCACCTGTGCGAAAACTCGTCGTTTCTCAAGTAACGATTGCCACGAGATCATTGCCACGGATTCGAATTACGATTACAACTTGGATGGGTTCGATGACGAGAAGACCGTCAAGAAATTGTTTCGCTGCGATAAATTCAACTTTACCGACGAAACAAGCAACGAGTGCGCGAGACATTGGCTCGATCATCGATCATCGTTAGACTTTTTCAAAGAAAGATTTAACATACCGCGCGAGGAAGAGGGAAATCATCGTGGTCATCGTGTTCATGGTCATCGGCGAAACGGAACGATCGAACAACGAGGGAACGAGGAAAATGAGGAGATCCTCGACTCGACCAGCTCCTCCGACCGCGTCGATAACTACGATCCCGATCAATCCACCATTATCGATCGATACAAACTCACTCTCTCCACCGTATACGTTCGTAAACATCGTTGGACATCGATCGACGATCAATCCAAAATCATAGTTTGCAATTTTGTGTCGTTTTTCAGAGATATTATTCTTTTTACCTTTTTACCCAGCCTGTACATAGCAATTTTTATTTACGCGAACAGAACGGAGGAGCGATAAGTTTTCGATTGTTTACGCGTTTTTCCAACAGGGATCAATCTTTTTCGCACTATACATTCCTTCTTTTTTTTTTTTTTTTTTTTTTTTATTTCCTTTTCTCATCCGTTTCACGTTATATATATATATATTTTTTTTTCCTTCTCCTCTTTGCCCTTCCTATCGATATCTTTCTATATATTCGATAATATAATAATTTTTATATTTTGACATCAAATCTTTAGCGTTTAGCGAAAATAAAACAGACAAAGCGAGCAACACACCGCATCCGATGTTTTGCGGATTTTCTATTGGTATACGATTTCTCTTTTTTTTTTTTATTTTTAATTTCGACGATAACTACAAATGTAAAAAACTAACCGAGATATATATATATACGCGCGATAATTTCATTAAAATTTATTTAACGAAATGAAAGTTTACGAATATATGTGTTATTTTTTTTATTATTATTATTATGATGTATATATTTATCTTCCATTAATCGAAAGCACAGTATGTGAACACAGTGATTTGATTCGTATCGAATAATATTGAATCAACGGAAGATAGATCAGATTGTTTTGTTTTTTACCATCACGGCCATTCGTTGGAATGTACGCAATATAATTTCGTTTTTTATTTTCTCGAAAACGAAAAAATATATATATATATATGTGTGTGTGTGTATAGAAACATATAGAAGGAAAAAAAGTAGATAAAGAAAAAAAAAAAAAAAGAAACGAGGCTGCCGCGTTGTTCGCGTTTGCCCCGCGAAAATGATTGTTTTCTAGCTATCGGTAAAAGGAGCAAAGGCTCGATACAACAGCAGTGGTAACGACAACACCATCAACTACAACAACAACAACAACAACAACAACATTGATTGATACGTTTGAACGTAACGTCACAAACCGTTGCAGATTTGAGACGGAAAAGAACAAAGTTTGAGTCGCCCGACCTGAGGAAGTTCTTGTTGCATAGACGTCTGATAGAGAGATTACAATTTTCCGATGGTACGAAATCATACGATTCAAAATCATATATATTATAAAGTCGCCTGTCAAAAGTTGCTTACCTTAATACGCATCCGAAATACTTGCATACTTAATTTCGAGATATCACGAATACACGCGAAGGCATCATCGATACATCTACATCCGTATCACCATCGACATTTAC